GGTCAAATTTCAAAGTTGATATTTTCCATAAAATGGTTACCTATCGATTCGATGCAACTCGTCACGGGGATTGTAATGGTGGTCTTTGTTTTGCTCTACAAGGTCTAGAATTGCCAAAAATTGGGTTTGAAAATTTGACGTCATCATTTTTTAACAGTTTTTTTTTTTTCGCTATAACTTGGCCAAAAAACGAAATATCGATCTGAAATTTAGTATGTAGATAGAAGACGGTAGGTACTATCACGTATATTCGGTTTTTTTCGAAACTCAATTTTTTGATTTTTTGGCTAATGTACCTAGAAGAAAAAGCTTTTGTCATTTTTGAGGGTTAAAACTCCGATAATTCACAAATTCAAAAATCCGAGATAGCAGTTTTGTAGCCTTGTCAATTCTACACCTTTTATGTCTTGGTCATTTTTCTGTATCTTCAAAGCTGTAGGCCTGACAGGTCTTCTCGCGAAGGTCTTTTTCGGTCGAAAATGACAGAACATGACGTCATTCTGACGTCATTTGTGGCCAAAATAACTTAAAATTAAGTACATGTTTTTAGTTGTTCGTGATGAGATCTTTCGATTGCCGTTTGAATTTTCCAAATCGGACCATTAGTTCGGGAGATAACAGGGGGGGGGGGTAAAATTTACCCCCCCCCCCAGCCCCGCGCGTTCGGCTGGAGACCCCAGCCCCGCGCGGGTTAACCGGCGCACCGACGGGGGTCTGCGCCAACTTAGTACCGACGGGGGGGGGGGCGGATGACCGCCCCCCCCCCCTGAGATCTCGAGAACGAAGCAAGATAGCGACAAGCGGTAAACGGCATCGGATACGCACGGACAAGGTCTACAATTTTTACAAAGGTCATTTTCAGGTCAGGTCAAAGATGACGTCACAGGGGTCGAAAAAGTCAAAATGGCGGCGCTAGATATGGAGAGGGTTTTTCTCGAATAACTTTCGAAGTAGTCAAGATAGGAACAAACTAAGGGCATCATCGTGATCCTCTCGTCAATTCGCATCGAATGATATATATGTTGACCTCGAAAGGTCAAGGTCAAAGGTTGACCTCAGGTCACGTGACCTCGAGGTCATCATGTATATCATTCGATGCGTCTTGACGAGTTGAACACAATGAGACCATCCGCGCGGCTGTATCTTGTTCCTGTAAGGAGTTATTGGCAAAAAACCTTTGGTGACCTTTGATGACGTCACATGACCTTACAGCTGCCCAACAGCAAAACAGACCTCAAGGTAGTGAAGGTTGATTGTATGTGAAGTCATGTATGGTATATGGGGCCATTCCGACCCGTTTTGGTGGTAAAAACAGGGAGTTGATTTTTCCCCCATTGACTTATAATGGGGAGGTCGCGAAATTGACCTGACCTTAGGTCACAGACATCAAAATTCCGAGATATAAAAATTGTAGCTACTAATGAACTTATAACATCCTGCGACTTTCAAAGGCCTCCGACATCTACTGTAGCTCTGGCACGGTGACAAAGTTGCAAAAAAGTGACTTGAGGTTGGGTCATTCAAAGTGACCTGGTGACCTGACCTTTAAAGTTAGGAGGTTCAAACTTGTACACCATGTGTAAAATTGATGAGAGAATAGTCATACCAAATTTCGCGGCGCTACGCGCCGCGGTTTTCCCGCTATCCGCGAAAAACCTCAGGGGGGCGGATATCCGCCCCCCCCGTCGGTGCGCGGGTTAATCACAGCGGGAAGAAAGGTGACCGGATAATTTCGTTACACCCCGTATCCTTCTATAGGCTATGTTACTGATACGTCAGTCATATTACCCTAATTATGTCACTTTTGTCATCCTGAGGCTCTAAATGAATGCTTAGATCAAAAGGAATGACAAAATCGTAGCCAGTGACTTCAAATGCAGCAAATGAGACTGATCATGTGTAAACGTCAACCAAAGGCCATTCGGGGTCACATGAGGCCAACATAAAACTTGACCTTTTCAAACAACCTATATGTCATTCGACGTGTCTTGACATGACCAATGCGTTGGTACCACTGCTTCAGGTCTAGGACCTTTTTTGGTGAAGAAATCTGCAAAAAAGCCGCAGCTCGGGGTCGCTAACCTAACCTTTGACCTAATGTCGAGCTAACCCTTTGACCTAATGTAGGTTGGTATCAATTCTTTTTTTTTGTCCAATACCTATTGAATTGTCCACCATGTGAAACATAGTGGAACAGGTATGCAGGAGTGCCCTTCCATGCCCTCGAGGGCTATCGATTGCTTTTTCACCGCGTCTTTCTGGCCCTCTTAGTTTTTGAGTTAGAGGTGGGTGGTAACATACCTACTACCTATGCCCCCCCCCCCCCCCCCACTAGGGCGAAGTTGGCTGACAGGCTGAGACCGCCACAGGGGCAGGGGTTAACATGTAAACCCTATGGGCTGGTAGGAAATGTACGCCGTGGAGCAGCAGTGCTACCAACTAACTTCGGGGGGGGGGGGGGTCGGGGGAAATAGCTGCAGCCCCGTTGTGCGCCATTACCAAACCTGAAGCCCCGACACTAGCGCTACCTAGTGGCCGCTTTCGCAACTAGCTGTCCGATGACGGTCGACAGAGCGATACTAGCGCCACAGTGGTAGAAACAAGAGTTAGAGCTTACGATGCCCACTCGCTAGGTGCCGCCCCTGACTCGGGATCGATGATGAGTCGACTAGACCGACTAAATGATTGGATGATTGAATCAGAATGACCAGCTGCCTGTATATGATCCGAGATACAGGGCTGGTAAAAACGGTTTTGGTGGCTCTGACCAAATTTTCTTAGATGAAAAGTGGCTCCTCACAGAATGAGTTGGAAAAAGCAGCGAAGACGTTCTCTTTGGCATCAGTTTAAACATCAGCTTTTTTAGCTCACTGTTAAAGCCTCATTGTGGGACATAAGCTCGCCTCAAAAACACAAAATGGATGTAGACGACTTCCTAATTTTGTCTTAGTTGGCTGATGACAGTCAGAAAGGTAGGGTATATAAATTATAATTTTGACTTACCAATAGAGAAAATGTTATCATCTCCCTCACTAGCAAAGGGTCAGTCATATTTTTCATCAGTTTGATATATCTCTGCTGATGTTGTATCGAGCTCGGAACTCAAGCACCAAAGGCATTATAAGTCTAACATTGACTTATGTCACAAAATTTCTGAAAAGATATGATGGCTAACATAAATAAGCTATCTTATTTTCAAATTTGAGTCTAACACTAAAAAAAACACAGAAACATTCAATAATTAAGCAAAGATTTAGTAACTAATGCAATAAATATACTAGGATGGTGGGCAAATACATTTTAAAAATCATGAGCTGCTTCAGTGATGTATCAAAAATCAAAACTAGTCATGCTTATGTCTACATCAACATATTAGAATCAGATTGAGATACCATTACGCAGTAGGTATCTATGCGACCAATGATATTGCTACCCTGATGTAGGTATGTACATACTGGAGAGAAGAGCACCTTCACCTCGCAACGAACATACAAGAAATAAATAAGACATACAACAAAAAGTATACCAAAAAATGTACAAAAATATGCAGACCCATTCACTCTGCACCGCGACCTGCACGAGATGCAGCCTTGCACGAGGCCTTACTATAATAAAGACCAGTATTCGTGTTCTAACACTAGTCGATAATACAGTGAGCCGCCAATAGTAGAAGAGTCAGTGGCTCCCCGTTCACTCAGCACTAGCTCCTCATCGACTGATGAAAGCCACGGAGCCCTATTCTCCCTAGTGTTAAAGGGACCCTCCCACCTTCAAAAAAGTTAATGAATTGGCATGAAAGTGATGTCGCTCGGTTCAGAAAGAGCAAAAACTTCAAATCGACCAGGCTGGCACGGTCCGCCGACATCAAAACAACGGTGCGTCAGCTGATTATTGGTCCTCCGATTCAGGAGAAATTATTAACGCGGGAACGCCGGCGCTAAATAAAGGCGGTAGGATTCACGGCTTCACATGATCGTGTGCAATATTTTTTATAGTATCAAGCGAGGGGTATTGCTGGAGTTTTGCAAATAAATATTTTGTTCTCAGTTTGGCTATGCGATCGTGAACACTTTATTATCATAGATACGATATGAAACAGGATAAACAGGCCAACCCAAGGCTTATGTAGGCCAACCTTAGACTTCGCATAGCCATGGACATTGCGTAGGAAGGTTTAGGTACTTGCCGATCGTACCACGATACCACGGGCAAGATATCAGACTTTTGGGAGTTTTGTGTCGCTGAAATGTATTTTAAGTGCTAAGAAGGAAAATAATTCAATTTAATGATGTCATGGACAATGGACATTTAGCCATTCCAAGCATATAATTTGCCTGGCTTCGACAACCAGATAGCCAGGTTTATTTCAAGAGCTTCTAAATAGGTAGTGGATTTAATATCGTTTCTATTACATTTATTTGATAATCCTACATATCAGTAAACCTGCCAGTAAACCAGTAAACCTGTTTCGCGCATAGGCGGCGGAACGGGGAGGGCACCGGGGCACCGTGCCCCCCTTTGATTTTGGCATTTTAACAATGGGCTCTAAGGGCGTTACATGGAAAGAATGGGACCAAAAGTCGGCAGTGCCCCCCCCCCCCCCCCTCCCCTTCCCCAGTTGAGCTGGGCGCAGGTACTAAATAGCATCAAAGGAAATCATATATTCATCTCGCCGCATTTAAGCGCACCAATCGAAAGACGACAGCGTGACCGCGCTGACAGGCAATCAACCTGGCCACATAAAACTAGCTAGTGCAAGGAAGATGTCTATATAAACCACTGGACCATGCAAAGCGTTCAGTAAATAAAATACGAGTAAAGATGACGCGTTTGAGGGCAGACTGGCCAAACAGTGACGTTACACGCGGATCTCAACACTGCACAACACATTCATCAAAAAAGATCTCGTGGATCCCTATATACGTCATAACTAGCCCTAGTACGGGGGTATATAGCCATGGACGTAAATGGCCGGCTTAAGGCACAGGATCCCAATTGTCATCCCCATTACGTGGTCCCCAGAAGTCGCCAGGCCGAGAGCTAATGGCAGTTAAGCACATCTTACACGTGCCGACAAACGTGACACAATGAATCCAATAATGAGTCCGCTAATAAGCCTGCCTAATTCTGCATGTAGGCTGCTATTTACCACCACGGCGGAAGGCTAAAACGCATCCATACAGCTCAACATAGGTGTCAATTTCCGCCGGGTTGGGGGTGCTCAAGCTCTTTAGATTCCCCGCCGACTCGGCTGGCTTGGCTTTGGAGCCCCAACAGACGGTGCGGGTCAAGGTCACCGCTAAGGCAGCGGCGGATTTGCTGCGCCCGGGCAGTGGGCACCCTCAATTCGGTGAAAATCGACACCCATGCAGCTCAACATGACAAAACGCTGCATACAAGCGCACGTCCTCGCATTTAATTGACGCATTTAACTGCGTCACTAACCTCGTACACTGTACAACACTGGTGAGATGACTGTCCGAAGGAAACTGCCGACTTTGGCTGGCAACATTCAGGGTTGGTGACTTATGTACTGAGTTCGGCTGGCTGACGGCGATGTGACTTCAGGACCGGTTGATGAACGGGCCATCCTAGCCCCATACTACAGGAGCCCAGCTGGTCTTGGCGAGCGGCGGCGACTGGACGAGGCTGGACCCCTACTACAGGAGCCCAGCTGGTGCTGACGAGCGGCGGTTACTGGACGAACGGGTCAGCCTGGACCCCTATTGCAGGAGTCCGGCTGGTCTTGGCGAGCGGCGACGACTGGACGAGGCTGGACTCCTACTGCAGGAGTCGAGCTGGTCCTGTCGAGGAAATAGTTCACCTTTAACATGGGATTTTAAACTGAGATAGCAGTCTGATAGAGCAGATTTGTGTATGCCTTATATTTGAACCGTTTGAGATATTCACCTTTTATCAGTGAATATTGGTGCTTAAATTAATGTTCTAGTGCTCATTTACAGCAAGCAGAAACCTCTTCAACACACACAGTGGCCAATCAGCGATGAGAGCACTTACAGGAGCAGAATCCCTTGCAGCTGATAGGTTGTTCAGCTGTAAGTGTTCATAACTCTAATCATTAAAATAATGAAATCCCTTTAGAAGAAGTGTGTAATTCCAAGTTAGAATACATTTAAATTTTATTCGTCACATTTTTAACACACCTTTTTAAATTTTATTTATCAAGTTACTCACAGAAGGTGAACAATTTCTTTTAACACTTACCTTGCTTCAATGGTGACATGTAGCTCTTGCAGCAGAGAAGGCACAGCATTTGGCTGCAACTTCAAATATTTACTTGTTGCTATCAATTATTCAGTTTTGAAATGCATACAGGTAGGTACAATGAATCTTGGGTTCTCCTGTAAGAATGCCGACCGCAGAAGCAGAAGTTCATCCAAAGCTTGCGCCTGAAAAAGGGCCAGGTTTAATTATCATTATACCATAATCACATTTATGCCTAATTTGTAAGAAATAGGTTTAGGTTAGCAGAAATAGGTAAGGTTTTGACTAGACCCCCTGGGCCCTGGGTCACAACAGGAGATGACCCCCGTGATTGGTGGGACCACCAGGCACCAGCACTGGCACAGTCCATTCTGACCACCGCACACCTATCAGCCACATTTAAAATGCACTACACTACATCCCCCACCACCTGACCACACCAGACCAAATCTGCACCGCGCTACACAAAATCCGCACTGCACCAAGCTAAATCCACGCCACACCAAAGCCTCACCAGCCGGACAAGCCAGCACAGACGAGATCTTGTCGAAATTGCCATGCTTTGCAGAGTGCATACTGGCCTACCTGAACCTGACCTTACCCAGCATATGAGCCTGACTGTTCTTAGCACTGGGAGCTCATTGAGACCAGGCCCCACAAGCCTAGTGGCCTCCTGAAACCTGATTTCCATATGGGGTGAGCTATTTAAGAATGGTGATTGGATATCGAACGTGAGACAAGACAGCAATGAGCAGTGGGCGGTTCATGCAACCATAATCATGTTTCCTTACCACAGTCAAAGCAAAATCAAAAATAGCTACCTATCGAATTCAAATTTCACTGGAACCTCACCTGCATGGATCTTAAGTGAAAGGATCTTGATACATCTGCACGAAAGATACATCTTGATCCACTCATCTCAATCTTGTTTTTCTGCATCCAGGGCATGCAACACTTCTGGTCAAGGCCGTATACCTATAGGACATCGCTTCTGGTATTTTTGGCACCACACTCGACTGCTGAGCTCAAATGCAAATTTGGATTGCAATCACGGTCATAAAATACTGAATATTGAATCGCAATGTATGTTCAGTCGATGTACCCCTCGTTCGATGTCTCTCAGACGACGAAGATTGTACGTCGTCCGGCCAATCCCGTTCTAGATCAACGGGGGCTCGGCTGCAATTATGGAATGTGATTGGCCGAATGGCATAGAATCTTTGTCGTCCGAAAAACATCGAACAAGAGTAATGTCGCTACTGCGCCATTGTTGCATCGAATTCGCCCCATAGAAGCACGTGTTAACTCTCTCCCATAGGGCCCTGGGTTGACTCTCTCCATAGGGTCCTGGGTAAACTCTCCCCTTGTCTGTTTTCTTTAAACGGGGATAGTTTGGACAACAAAATATTTTCGACCTCAAAAAAATTAAAACTTAATTTTTGATGTACCTCATTGATGCAAAACATCAGAAAAACATTAGAAATTAAGTCAAAGAAACCGATTATTTATAAATGGACAGCTGACGGCATGCCTCCCGTGTCCCCTGGCTTGAAGCTTCGGCTCCGTGTTACCTTATACCGGGGTTACATGAGCGATCCGTTCCAAATACGCACTACGCTAATGCGCATCAGCTCCCCACAAACGTATCTACGGCACCGGTTACATGAGACTAATTCGTTTTATCTACGTCAAACGGATCTTGTTTGGCTCACCCGGGCTGACTCCTCGACGGCCGGTAATTCGCATCACAAACGGAATAGGATTAGCGTACAGTCATGGCGCAGTTGCGGCATTTACAGGGACGACCGAACTAAATTTTTATTATTGCACGATATTACATCATTTGATATGCTTAAAAACATTAAAAATAAACATGAAATCAAAAATTGAAAACAAAGTTTTCGTGTTTTAAATCACTGAGCACTGATTAGCCATGCAGCGACAGCAGGGTGGTCAGAATAAATTTATCCATCAAAATATTTCATTCATTTTATTTTTGCTATTTACCGAATTCACCTTCAAAGACTTAACAAAAATATCAACAATTTTTTTTTTTGCTATTTTCTACGAAGCATTCAATAAAAAATGCTTATTATTTTGCATTTTGACGCTTCCATTCAGCAAAGAATAGTTCTTGTGAAATACGTCCAGTTCCGGTCCGAGTCGTACAAATCGGCTACATGAGCGATCCGTTCCAAATACGTACTACGCTAATTCGCATCAGCTCCCCTAGAACTTATTCAAGGCACCGACTACATGAGCAAATTCGTTTTAGTGACGTCAAACGGATCTAGTTTGGCTCTCGGCCCGATGCGCATCACAAACGGAATAGCATACAAATGTGGCGCATTTCCGTAGCAATAGAGGTGACTGAATTAAAAATTTATTATCTTATGTCTTTTTTGCATTTAATCTGCTCAGATCATCCTCAGTTAACTTAACAAAAAAAAGTTGAACATAAAGTTGTCTTGCTTTGACTCATTGGGCACTTCCCTCTCTTGATTCGTCTGTAGTGCTGTCAGAAAAATGTTTCAACTGAAAGTACTTAGATTTTTACTTTTTGGTTTTCACGATATTTATTTTTGAAAACTTGACAAAATACCGACATAATTTTTTAATAATTATTTCAAAATAAGAAAATGAAAAAGGTACCTGTAATTTTGCATTTTAATGTTTCTTTTTGGGAAGAAATAGTTCCTGTAATACGTATCTTGGTCCTATTCGCTTCTAAGCCTGTTTCTCAGCGGATTTTGTTCGGACCGCCGATTCGTATTAGCAGGTGGATACATGAGTCGGTAGTACGCTCCTGATTCGCATTAGCGGTGAATCCGATCGTGATACGTATTTGCTTTGCTCATGTAACCGCGGATCGGATCGCCGATTCGTACTAGCAGGTGGCTACATGAGTCGGTAATGCGTTCCTAATTCGAATTAGCGGCTAAATACGTATTTACTGTGCTCATGTAACCCCGATATTAGTATTCTATGACCGTGAAATCGACTGATGGCTCATCGCACAGTAGATGTAGATGTAGATGTAGATCGGGGTATAGCCTTTGTAACGGCACCCCTTGTTTCTTACCTTCCTTACCTTACCTTCAAGGTGTTCGGGTTAAAGAAGGCCACTTGGCCTGAGGATCCCGCTCTCATCGAGCTCGTGAGGATGTACATACTGGGCTCTTAGGGAAAGGGGATGTCATACATCTTGTTCTTCCAGTGTTTGTCCAGTCGCGCCTTGAATTGGTTTACCGACGTCGCTGACACCACGGAGTCTGGGAGAGCGTTCCAGTCGTTGACTATTCTAGTGCTGAAGGTGTTTCTGCGCACGAGTTTTCTAGCTTGTGGTTTGTCCAGTTTCCAGCGGTGTCCTCTTGTCCGGTCTGACTCGTTTCGTGTCAGAAACTCCTCCGGTGTCAGCGCCATGCCTCCGTGCAGCAGCTGGTACACGGTGATCATGTCTCCTCGGCGGCGGCGATAGAACAGTGAAGGCATTCCGAGGCTATGTAGTCTTTCTGGGTATGGCAAGTGTCTCACGGACGGGACCATTCGGGTCGCCCGGCGCTGAACTCGTTCCAGCCTCTTCTGGTTGCCAATACTGAATGGTCCCCATATCGTGTTTCCGTATTCCAACAACGGCCTGACCATAGCATTAAAAAGCAATGGTAGCGTGGACTCGTTGATGTTCGCAAAAGAGCGTCTCAGTACAGCCAGGGTTTGACGAGCTTTTGACACGGCCACTGATGCCTGTTTCTTGAAGTTCAGGTCGCTGTCGATCACGATCCCAAGGTCCTTTTCCTCGTCGGTCGCTTCAATCGGGGTACCGTGCAGCGTGTAGGTCAGGTTTGGATTTTGGTGGCCAATGTGCATTACCTTGCATTTCGCGACATTGAGCGGAAGCATCCATTTCCGAGACCACTCACCAAGCGCATCGATGTCAGTTTGCAGGCCCACGTCATCCTGGTTGCCCACCATCCGACGGTAAATCTTCGTGTCGTCGGCGAAGAGCTTGATGTGGCTGGAGACTTCCAGGGGCATGTCGTTCACGAAGATCGTGAAGAGGACTGGCCCGAGGACTGAGCCCTGTGGTATGCCGCTGAGGACACTCGTCCATTGCGATTTTGAGCCTTGGATCACGACCCTTTGTCGACGATCGAGCAAAAAGGCCTTGATCCAGTCAAGAAGTTTGCCTCTGATGCCGTACGCTTGTAGCTTGTGGATCAGTCGACGGTGGGGCACAGAATCGAACGCTTTGGCAAAGTCGAGGTAGGCCACGTCTACCGGGTCGCCGTTCTCCATGGATGCGCTCAGGTGCTCCATCACCTCCATGAGTTGGGTGGTACATGACCTTCGTGGGAGGAATCCATGTTGGGAGCTGTGCAGTATACCGTTTCCACAGAAGTGTTGCAAGAGACTGTCTCGGATAATTGACTCCAGTATTTTGACAGGAATAGCAGTGAGGCTTACAGGACGGTAATTCTCTGGTTTTTGACGGTCTCCCTTTTTAAAGATTGGGATTACCTCACCCGATTTCCAGTCCGGAGGGAGCTCTCCCGCGTCTAGGGACTTTCGAAAAATCGTGCTGAGTGGGCTACTCAGAGCGTGTGATGAATCCCGGAGCACGCGAGGGTGGATGGCGTCTGGTCCTGGGGAGCTGTCGGGTCGAAGAGCTGCTAGTTTTTTCTCCACTAGCTGAGGAGAGACGTCGACATCTTCCAAAGTGGGTCCTTCCCAGCGGTTCCGCATTATCGGCGTTGGTTCGTCTCCTTCCTTGGTATAGATGCTCCCGTAGAAGGCACTCAGGACCTCAGCCTTTTCTTGGTTGGTAGAGACGAGCACTCCGCGGTCATCCAGGAGGTCCTCGACTCGGCACTTTGTTCGGAGTCTGGAACTTGCGTACCTCCAGAACGCCTTGGGGTTCTGCTTCAGGTTTTTGGCCAAGGTGGACTCAAAGCTTTTTCTGAGTTTCCGTGTCAGACTTCTCAGTTCGTTTCTACATCGGGTGAATCTGGCATGATCGATAGGGTCCAGTGTGGTGCAGTATACACCCCACAGTGATTTCTTCTATTTCCTTAGTTGCATTGCATGACGGTTCATGTAGATGTTTTTGTGGCGCGTTTTTCTGGTTTTGGAGCATTTCTCAGTAGCTTTGGATATAGTGGACTTAAATGTAGTGTAGGCTTCGTCAAGGTGCATTGTATTCAGCTGGCTCCAGTCGTGTGCCTCAAGCATACCCGCCAGGCGGGTATAGTCAGTTACCGGGGTTACATGAGCGATCCGTTCCAAATACGCACTACGCTAATGCGCATCAGCTCCCCACAAACGTATCTACGGCACCGGTTACATGAGACTAATTCGTTTTATCTACGTCAAACGGATCTTGTTTGGCTCACCCGGGCTGACTCCTCGACGGCCGGTAATTCGCATCAGAAACGGAATAGGATTAGCGTACAGTCATGGCGCAGTTGCGGCATTTACAGGGACGACCGAACTAAATTTTTATTATTGCACGATATAACATCATTTGATATGCTCAAAAACATTGAAAATAAACATGAAATCAAAAATTGAAAACAAAGTTTTCGTGTTTTAAATCACTGAGCACTGATTAGCCATGCAGCGACAGCAGGGTGGTCAGAATAAATTAATCCATCAAAATATTTCATTCATTTTATTTTTGCTTTTTACCGAATTCACCTTCAAAGACTAAACAAAAATATCAACAATTTTTTTTTGCTATTTTCTACGAAGCATTCAATAAAAAATGCTTATTATTTTGCATTTTGACGCCTCCATTCAGCAAAGAATAGTTCTTGTGAAATACGTCCAGTTCCGGTCCGAGTCGTACAAATCGGCTACATGAGCGATCCGTTCCAAATACGTACTACGCTAATTCGCATCAGCTCCCCTAGAACTTATTCACGGCACCGACTACATGAGCAAATTCGTTTTAGTGACGTCAAACGGATCTAGTTTGGCTCTCGGCCCGATGCGCATTACAAACGGAATAGCATACAAATGTGGCGCATTTCCGCAGCAATAGAGGTGACTGAATTAAAAATTTATTATCTTATGTCTTTTTTGCATTTAATCTGCTCAGATCATTCTCAGTTAACTTAACAAAAAAAAGTTGAACATAAAGTTGTCTTGCTTTGACTCATTGGGCACTTGCCTCTCTTGATTCGTCTGTAGTGCTGTCAGAAAAATGTTTCAACTGAAAGTACTTAGATTTTTACTTTTTGGTTTTCACGATATTTATTTTTGAAAACTTGACAAAATACCGACATAATTTTTTAATAATTATTTCAAAAGAAGAAAATTAAAAAGGTACCTATAATTTTGCATTTTAATGTTTCTTTTTGGGAAGAAATAGTTCCTGTAATACGTATCTTGGTCCTATTCGCTCCTAAGCCTGTTTCTCAGCGGATTTTGTTCGGACCGCCGATTCGTATTAGCAGGTGGATACATGAGTCGGTAGTACGCCCCTGATTCGCATTAGCGGTGAATCCGATCGTGATACGTATTTGCTTTGCTCATGTAACCGCGGATCGGATCGCCGATTCGTACTATAGTTCGTTTTTTTTAAGTTTGACCCTCACTGTAAACGTCTTTTTGAACATAGCACGAGAATTGCTAGCTGAATTACTGAGAAAACTGGTTGGCGCACACTGATTTAACCAGATTTCACAGACGATCAATTTCATCAAATTTATTTACTATTTCAAGACTCGTAAATCGTATCCATGCCAATACCTACAGCCTCACAGGGATAGACGACTTCTCAGGAATTATGTCTGAACTAATAAATAAATTGCAGGGCGCTTAACATAACGTTAAATCGTCGATGTTCAAAACTTATTTTTGAAAATATTATTCATATCTACAATACAATGTGCGCTTACCAGTTTTCTCAGTAATTCAGCTAGCAATTCTCGTGCTGTGTTCAAAGAGACGTTTACAGTGAGGGGCAAACTTAAGAAAAACGGACTATAGCAGGTGGCTACATGAGTCGGTAATGCGTTCCTAATTCGAATTAGCGGCTAAATAC